ATCAGATTAACTATCTCTCTATTCAAACCACTCAAAAATCGGGCCATGGTGGCCTCCCAATTCTCCTCAACATTCGCTCTAATCATGGTAATATCCATTTCCTTTTGATAATCCTCCACACTCTTAAATCCTTAGTAAATGCTTTGTAATTTTTGATAAAGATCCTTATAGTAATTATTAGAAATGAACATCTTCCTCATGATAGCCTTCAATTCTCCCCATTTTCAATAGGCCTCTCATGATTCATCTTTCTCAATGTTGCTATTTGATCCCACCAAATGATAGCATAATCAGTAAACTGAACGATAGCAAGTTTTACAATTTTTCTCCTCCGAGTAGTTATGACAATCAAATATAAACTCTATCTTCTTCTCCCACTCCAAATATGCATCCGGATCACTTCTTCCTTTGAATGAGTGAATTGTCATTTTAAGCTCTATCTTCTTTTCCCACTCCAAATATGCATCCAGATCACTTCTTCCTTTGAATGAACGAATTGTCATTTTAATATTGTCTATATTTCTATCAACTCCATATCCAACATAATCTCTAGCCCTCCTATCATGTCTATCTCATCTATACTTCATCCTTCCTATTGCAGTCTCCACCAATGCATCATCATCAATCACACTACCCGCTTGATTTTCACCACCAATATCCGTTCTACAATCCTGCCTTCCTTGTCTTCTTGTGTTAGGAATTTATCTAGGTTGTTCCTTACGTAAATTAGCAAGCAATGTGTCTTGCCTCTCCATCTATGCCTCTTGCCTATCCATTCTATCTCTCATACACCAAACAACATTTCAAATCATCATATCATCTCCTCTGTCATGATGACTTGACTATTCTTCCTGCTTAAAGTAGAATCTTCTCTGTCAGACATCCTAAATCTAGAGTAATATTTGTCTCACGTGTGTACACTCTTGTATCATTCAATTTGATTTTTTCTCTATATTAGTACTCTATCGTTTTTCACTCAATACTTCCTTGCAAGCGCTTAAAAAAATTAATTCGATCTCAATCAAAAATTCAAAGCTTGAGGAGTTCAAACATAGAATTGAGTAAGGAAAGTGATCTAAAATGATTCAAGAATTAGGAATTTGACTTTGAATGGAAACGCCAAAAATAAATTTCAAAAGAGTGTTTCTTGAATTGAACTTGACACTTTTTTTTACTAGGTGCACGAGAATTCAACCAAGAGCCCAAAAAATCGAAAAGGAATTGATTTGGGAACTAATTTAACGCACAAACAACTTTTGCAATATTTTTGATATTTTAATTGGATTGAATGACTTAAAAGATGAAGAACGAAGATATAGACTCAAACAAAAACAAACAAGGAATTAACGATATAACATTGATTTTTGGATTCTAAGCTCTGATACCAATTAATGCGAACCCATGTAGCAACTGTAGCTACGGAACCTACGACAAATTAAATCAAACCCAAGAAAGTCAAGAATCAACATTTGAAAAGCTCGACACAATAAATTATTGAACCAAGAAACCTAGACAATCGTCAACAACATATTGACACCGTGATCACAAAACTTATGAATCTTATTTAAATTGTTGAACGCCACAAGAATTTAATTCTTGATAAGTTCGGAATTAATTTGATGAAGAACGAGAAGAAAACAATATGCCTCAAAATAATATCTCTCAAATTGTGTGTGCTACAATGAACGAAATGGGTGCTATTTATATGGAACCCATAAAACCTAGGTGGAAACGGAATTACACCTAAAAAATATCAAAATACCATAAAAGAGTTTTAACTAAAATAAAAGTCTAAACAAAATTTGGAAAAAAAAACTCCAGAAATTGTACTATGCAGCCGCATAGTGAAATTGCATGCGGTCGCATATACCACTTCAACTGCCCTCATTTTGGTTCGGTATGGATGCATGCGGCCGCATGCATATGTATGCTATGTGGTCGCATAGCTTTGCCCCTCAACTCACTCGCATGTTGCTTGCACAAAGTTGATTCATTTTGTTTCTTCTTCCAAACTCAATATGAAACGTGTTCTTTTACTTGTTGTGATTGATGTTTCGTCCGCTGTAGTTTAACAAGCAATTCCATAGCTTCCTTGACCTTCTTTGCCCGTGATCTCGTCATTGGTCCTTTCTTCACAATCAACGAATCATTGCCCTCACTAACCCTCGTACTATGGATCTCATTATTTTCTCATCGAAGTTGGCAACCTTTGTGAAGTATTAATTTAGTAACAAAATGTGAATGGTGGAGGATGTACAGGTTACTCATATTTGGATGAAAAGAGAATTACTTTGTCTGAGAGATTTGACAAAGTATAATAGAGTGTATATTTGGGAAATATACTTGCTTGTATTTGACAAATTTTCGATCTGCGTTTATTAGTCCTCACCGATGAATAGTTTGTTATGGCTCCGTAATCTGCTTATTATTCATGGTTAATTGCTTATTTTTCAACAATTATTATTCTTCTAGGAAGCTGTTGTGAAAAATTAACTATCAGCTCATTCAAGCAAGAGCAATGCTATGTAGCCCCACTGGGATTACAATTCCCGTCTAGGTGGCGTTAATGTGACATTAAATGATATGTGAAATTAAATAAATTATTTAATTTCACCTTTCATTTAACCTATCATTTAAAGTCACCTAAATTGAAATTGTAACCCTAATATGGCTAAATAGCATTACTCTTCAAGCGAATAGAACGTTGAAGTTCCCTTTTGAAAAACGTAAGCAATAACTGTGACTTTGATAAACAAAAAGCAACAGCTGTAATGAAAGTTTGTTCCTTTCTTGACTAGCTGTAGACTCTACTCACCATTTTGGACCTCCACATCTGAATTTGCAGTTGGCAATCAACTATGGATCACCGTATATCAGCATAGATAATAAAAGCACTTTGATGTAGGTACACAATAGGTAGAAAGGATTCTAAATAGTCACATCAAAATCAGAAAAGTAGAAAGCCCATTCTATTGGGAATTAATGATATTCTCTTACTGGACAATACGAAGTCTAAAATGAGAAAAGATATAATATTTTATTAACATGAGAAAAAATCTGAAATTAGTTCACCATATTTTACATTTTCTGCAACTAATTTTCTTTTGATGCCATATATATATACTAATAAGCTACCATTTACTACTTGATTGAGACTAATTTTGAGGTTCATATATACACCCTACCTACAAATCATTTCTTTCTTCTGTAACCTAACTGCTAAGGTAGAATTAATTCTATACACTGTCAGTATCGGGGGAAACAGAGGTATTACAATATCTTTAACTAAGAGATGCATTAACCACAATCTTCCAAGGCGAACAAAACAAATACTTCTTTCTGGAGGAACAACCTAGGACGACATGGAGACCATGCAGATTTTAGAGCTGTTGTTCAGGAAACTGTCTGTATTGTCTTCAACGTTGAATCGAAAGTACTCACATGAAATCTCAAAAAAGGACAAAATTCTTAATAAACTGTTCAAGAATCCAAAAGATCTGCAATGATAAAGATAAACCAGGATGCTAAAATGAGATGCTGCATTCTTATTGCTCTGTCTTGTGTTGTTTCACTTAGATTATGAAAATTCACACCTTAAGCTACAAAGAGCAACTCATTAAGTGCAATCGCCTATGGTTGCATCATATAAGGAAGGACTTTTAGCCACCAAGCGTCAATAAGGAAGCACCATCACATTGATAGAACAAAAATATAACTAAATCTAATGCTTAAGATCAAGATGCAAGACTCCTGAAAGTGTTTACTCCCATTTCACCAAGTCCAGAGCAATTTTCTATCATGGAACTTGTACAGATTTGTGTACCTTGAAAGATGTCTTGTTGGAATATTCAGATCATAATCAATCCAAGGGATAACAGAAGAATGGCAGCAAGAAAATAACATAAGCCAGCAATATATAGATGGAAAACCCACGGCATCATTGCATTCACGTGCAAATTCAAAAGTTCATAATAATCGATATTGTATAACACAGGCGCTCAGAATAATTCTTGCATGTTACTGCTAAATTGACACATATTCATTCATACCAGAGAATGTATACTGTGCTGATACCTCCTAACATTGAAACAGAACCTCTTACAAAAAGTTGGGTGCAATTTCTAAACAAACGAATGAACTTGACTTATATGCACAGAAAGAAACAGAAAGATCACATAGTTACAAGGACTCGTGCACTGCCTAACGTAAATATGGAATGAAAAGCAAGAATTTATGGATTCGGACCATTCACTCATTGGTGCTATCATATTATACTCATAGAGGACTAGCAAACTCCATACCAATGTCTAAAGCAGTAAGATCTAACTGAATATCTTAATAGTTGTTACGGGTTGGTGTCCGACCCTCCACCTCGACGCCACGTGTCAGCAGAGGTTGCTCCACTGTAACACGCGTCAGCTGAGGTGATTACCCCATAGGACGATCTGAGTGCGCACACCGAACTTCTAAAAACCCAAAAATTATCCAATTGTTCATAAAGTTAATTATTTAAGAATTAATATTCTGATCCAATAGGTAATCCTTGGCTCACAACATTAACTTCAGACAAACAAACAATTATTCACGATTAGAATTTGATGAATTTCATAGATAACCTGCACATTACTCCACACTCTCCACTAGCTGCAAATGTATAAAAGAAAAATGCATAACTCCAATAACTGAAAACCTCAAAAGCAGACTATGATGCTTAAAATTTTCATAACTTATTCGCAAAATTCAAGTGTCACAAAGTGCTTACTTCATCACAATTTAAAAATCGTTCCGTGGGTAAAAAAATTCCAGTAAAACAGCTACAGAATCAAAGCTTAACAAAGATAGTATCAGGTTACTTTGATTAAAAAATCCACAAGTAACAATAACTGAAAATAATTATTCATCCTTCCCACCATAATATTTTGTAAAAGTCTCCGATCCGAACATTAAACAAAACCCAACAAAAATCAGAACCAGATGGGGGAGAATCCATCGAGCCCTAATCAATTGGATTTGGGATCTGGCATGGGGAAGAGACCGGCGCCCGCGGCCCCACGTGGCGGAGAGAAGCCCAAGAACTTCTGAAGATTAGTCCTTATACTAATCGAGCACAAAAAGTACAAAAACGCCATTGAACAATCCGTCATATCGTCCCCCGACAATCCCCTGTGGCTCATCTTCTGCACCAGCTTTATGGGAACGAATGGGATTTTAGCCACGGGCTTCCCCTCAAAAAGGCTGTTAAGTAGACCAAAAACCACGAACAAAACAAGGGCAACTACTCCGCCAGATTTGAATTTGAACATGGAGAGGTCTCGACTCGATTCCTTTAAGGATGATTCGACCCGATCGATTTTCTTGGTTTTGGATTTCTTGACAAGTGTTGCAGTACTAGGATCGGTGGTTTTCATCGTTTCGAGTTTCTTGGAGGCCTTGTCGATGGTGGATTTGAGGGATTTGTAGGATGAAGTACGGTAGATTAAGAGCCAGGAGATAGCCTCACAGACTATGGCTGTGCAGATTGAGATTCCGACAACTGTTAAGCTATCGGAATATTTCATGCTTGAGAATAATGTTGATGACATCGTCGGAGGAGAAGCAAAAGAACGAGGAAATTGGGTGGAGGTGTGTATCGTATGTGTGTAGAGACGGAGAGTAGAAGCCCAATAAACTAATCGATAATTAAGAGGTAAAATTACGTAAATCTCCCCAATGCTAGCTGCAGCTCACTCAACCTAACCTATATCGTCTTGGTTCCTTTGATAAATCTGCTTAAAAAAAGAATGAAGAAAGCACCTAGAGTCGACATATGGCAAAAAAAATTCTTTCAGGCAAATACTCCCAGGGTCTCGTCCCAAGTGGGGCAAGGCCTAACCGGGTAAGCGAGACGGGGGTGTTGCCCCGAAACGGATACGAAAAACATAGTGTACAGCTACTCCGCTAAACAACGAAATCTTCAAACCACAAAATTGAATCGAAACCACCTTTTGAAATTTTTGGATTGGGTCCATGTGGATCTGACAACGTTATGGATTTGAATCAAACTAAACCGCTTCAAAATAGTTTGATTTATCTTTCAATATTTGAAAATCGTTTCAAACCGTTAACCGTTTTCGAAAAAAATTTGAAAATAAATTAATCTAAATTTTATCCAACTCAATTAAAAGTAAACACGTCCTAAATAAAAAGATACATCACATAACTCAATTAAATTCAATACCAAAATAGACAATTATCCATCCCAATTAATAAATTAAATCATACACAAATACACGAGTCATAACAAATTGTGATTGTAAAACTCTTAAATTGGGACAATTAGATCTATATTTTAATTTGAACTTACATACTCTTTTCCTTCTACAAATAATTTTCTCGAATTTTGCCGAAATTTTCTAGACAGTTTATCCAAATCTTCTTATTTTTGATAATTATTTACTATAGTTTATTCGTAGTTATATTATTTTGTTCTAATTTGTGCTAAACTCCCTTAAATTTTAGCTGGCCATTTTTTTTGTTATGTTTGCGTTTTAATTTCATGATCGGGTCACTCGATTAATTATTTACATTTTAACTTAATTTTAGATTATATTGTTAATTGCTGGAATAATTTGATGATAACTTAAATGGTCATTTTTTAAAACTTGATCATTTAGACTTTTGACATATTACTTTGGCGAAAATTAAATACAAAATATAAGATTGTCCCTCAAATTGCTAAAAATGTGTTAACTATTCACACGTCCACAGATCGTTTATGAGTTTGCATTTTCAACTAGTGGTCATATTCTTGATTCCTTTAGAAGTTCGTTGAATTCAAATATGGCTGATGGCCTGATGCAATGATTTGCCCTAAAAATTGGTTGCATAGAAACAAAAAAATATATAGTAATTAATCAATATTTGGATGAGGCAGAAGTATTAGATGATTCACAAAATGTTACAGGAGATATATCATATTTGATCTTTTTATTCATTTTCTTTTATTATTTATTTTATATATCATTTAACAATAATTAATAAATTTACGTACTATATTCTTATCTTTATGGAGATAATAAATCATGTGTTATAATTACAGATGTTACGTCAATTAATATTAACTAAGAAGTTAAAATATTTCTATCATGCTGTTACAAACTAATGATTAGATTTGTATAACTTGATTTGTAATATTTTTAATAATACTATTTATGTTTTAAAATAAGATTTTTGACTAATATTTGTAATTTAACTTATTTGATATATATATTAACTTTTTCTTTGTTTAATTGTGATTTTAAATCGAACCAAATCGAAAAAAATTATTTGGATTGGTTTGATTTTGAAATTGAAATGATTGGCATGGTTTGAGAAAATTTCAAATAGTTTTAAGTGGTTTGGTTTGAAAATTGCATCAAGCCGCACCAAATCAAACCGTGTTCACCCATAGGACATGCACCGCCACGATCCCTCCTCGAACTCGCCCCTCTTTAATCAGGTAGGAGAACAGGATAAGGTGACAAAAATATTCGACGGGACAGAGGACAGAAATGATCGATCAACCCTATATTTGCGTCGTTGCCATTCCTACTATACCTTAATCCTATTTGATTTTCATTTCTAAAAATTCATTTTCAATCACATATTTTATGAAGTCTTTGTTTGACAACCATTATTTTCAAACATTTTTTTCTACATACTCATTTCAACCACACATTTATATACTAAAATATTCTGTACGTAAACTCAAAATTTTTCTTTACTTTTTAATCATACATTCTCCTAAAAATTATTATTCAAAATTCTATTTTCCCCAAATAATAATTGTCAAATAGGGGCGAAATTCACAACTATTATCAATTTTTTAACCACCATTTCCCCAACTTTTGTAAAATTTATTAAAAATATAACTTAAAAAAAAT